TAGATGATAAGTGGTGGTGACTTGGATCAAGGTGGCAGCAGCGGTCGTGGAGAAAAGTGGTAGGATTTTGCTACTTCGAAGGTAAAGCCAGCAACGTGGAGTCAAAGACGACTCAATGTCTTTGATCTATACAGCTGGTAAAATGGATAAAATGGAGGTTACTGCTTCCTAAGATGGATAAGACTGTAGAAAAGGTAGATTTAGGATGGGAGTGAACAAAAAGTATGGTTTTGCACATATTAAGATGCTGTGATTGGCTGGGCACAGTGGCTCACGCCTGTAATCCCAGCATTTAGGAAGGCCAAGGCAGGAGGATCACTTGAGCCCAGCAGTTTGAGACCAGGCTGGGTAACATAGTAAGACTCTGTCTCTATTTATTTAAAATAAATAATTTTTTAAAAAAGATGCTATGATATTATGAAATATATGTTTGGTTTTCATCCCCCTTTCCTGGCATACAACTAAAATCCTTAGCATCTCCAAAGTGATGTCTTGTTGTATGCTAATGAATTGACTGATGGTTGGCTGGCAGAGAGGTACCTAGAGAGGTAGCTTAAGGTTTGGGACTGGTCTCCAGAAAGATCAGGCAGGAGTAGAGAGGTAGGACTTTCAGCCCACCCTGCCAGCCTCTGGGAAGGAGAGAGAGCCTAAAAGTTAATTTGATCACTAATGGCCGATGATTCAATTAGTCATGCCTACATAATGAAGTTTCCATAAAACCCGAAAGGACTGGATTTGGAGTGCTTCCAGATAGCTGAACATGTGGAGGTTCCTGGAGGGTGGTACACTTGGGGCAGGCATGGAAGCTCCAAGCGCCTTCCCACATGCCTCGCCCTATGCTTCTCTTCATCTGTATCCTTTGTAATATCCTTTATAATAAACTGGGAAACTTAAGTGTTTCCCTAAGTTCTGTGAGCTACTCTAGCAAATTAATCAAACTTAAGGAGGGTGCCATAGGAACCACAGTTTTAGCTGGTCAGTCAGAAGTGCACATAAAACAAGCTGGGGCCTTCAATTGGCTCAGAAGTAGGGGGATGCCTTATGGGACTGTGCCTTCAACCTGTGGGATCTGATGCTCTCTCCAGGTACATGTTGGAATTGAATTGAATTACAGGACACCTCGATGGTGTCTGATGCAGACCTGATTGCTTGCTTGGTGCTTGAAACTGTGAGCCTGGATGGGATCCTAAATACTCCCTAGGGAATGATATAGGTAGAGAAGATATTTGAGGCCTGAGACCCAGTACATTCCAAAATTTGGAGATTAGGAAAATGGAGAAGAACCAGCAAAGGAGACTGAGAAGGAGTAGCCAGTGAGGTAGGAGAACCATGAAGGAGTGGTACCCTGGTGGCCAAGTGAAGAAAGTGTTTTCGGATGATCAACCCTGTGGGCAAAGTGAAGACAAAGAAATGATCATTGGATTTGATAACATGAAAATTACTAATAACTAGAAGAAGAATGGTTTTGGCCCCATGGCTCATGCCTGTAATCTCAGGATTTTGGGAGGCCGAGTTGGGCAGATCACCTGAGGTCAGGAGTTCAAGACCAGCCTAGCCAACATGGTGAAACTCCATCTCTACCAAAAATACAAAAATTTACCCAGTGTGGTGGGATGCACCTGTAATCCTAGTTACTCAGGAGGCTGAGGCAGAAGAATCACTTGAACCCAGGAGGCAGAGATTGAAGTGATCCGAGATCAAGCCACTGCACTGCAAGAGAATGACACTCTATCTCAAAAAAAAAGAATGGTTTTGATTTATGGTGATGAAAACCTCATTGGAATGTGTTCAAAAGAGACAGGAGGAGACGTGGAGACAGCAAATACAAACAAAACAAAGCAAAACTATTTCAGTGAATTTTGTGTAAAGGGAGTTTACACAAAGAAAAGAAAAATGGAATAGTAGCCAAAAGTAGATGTGAAATTAAGGGGAGGTTTTTGTTGGCACATTTGTTTGTTTGTCTGTTTTTGAGTCACTCGCCTCAGCCTCCCAAAGTGCTAGGATTGTAAGCGTGAGCCATCACACCCGACCTCTGTTTTTAAGTTAGGAGATACTTGATATCATGTTTGTACAATATTGGTAATTACCCACTTTGTGTACAGAGGGGAATGATTTTGAGTTCAGCTTAAGTACAGCTTATTTCTGCCTGGCTTGGATTCAGAGACCCACCCCTCCTGAGCAATGTTGCATTTGCTTCTGCAAAGTGTCCTGAAGGCACCACCAGCCCAGGACCAATTTTCAGTTAATTTTTCTTTTTTTTTTTTAACTTTATTTTAATTTATTTTATAGAGATGGGGATCTCACCATGTTGCCCAGGCTGGTCTCAAACTCCTGGGCTCAAGTGATCTGCCTGCCTCAGCCTCCCAAAGTGCTGGGATTACGGGTGTGAGCCACTGCACTTGGCCCAAGTTAATTTTTCAGCTTGAAATTTCCCACACCGATCAGGTAAATTATATCTGGTCTCTGGAATCTCACAAGGCAAACCACTGGTCTTCGATATCTCACCTAGGGCCTTTTTTTTCCCTACTCAAGGCCCTGCAAAGACAAACTTTCTTTACCTTCTCCTTGGACTTATGGTCAGAATTTTTAGTCCTTTTTCACTAAGGTAGTGGTCCTCAGAGGGTTCTAACTTCCCAGCTCTCAGCTCTAATAGATCAGAGTTTGGTACTGGTAAGGACCTAGTCCCTTAGCCATTCCTGGTCCTCACAGCTCGGGCTGTGCTCCCTCCACTTAGCTGGCGTCTAGGGATTTCTACATCTTTCTTGCAAGCCCAACCAGACATTTAAAAAACTTTGGCTGGCCGGGTGCGGTGGCTCACGCCTATAATCCCAGCACTTTGGGAGGCCGAGGTGGGTGGATCTCGAGGTCAAGAGATCCTGGTCAACAAGGTGAAACCCCATCTCTACTAAAAATACAAAAATTAGCTGGGCGTGGTGGTGCGTGCCTGTAGTCCCAGCTACTCAGGAGGCTGCAGCAGGAGAATTGCTTGAACCCAGGAGGCGGAGGATGCAGTGAGCTGAGATCGTGCCATTGCACTCCAATCTGGGTAACAACAGCGAAACTCCATCTCAAAAAAAAAAAAAAAAAACACTTTGGCTATATTTTATCTAACGCCTCTAAGGATTTGTGGCAGGAAAGTTTTCACCACTATTTTGCTGGAACCAGGAATTTTTCTCCTCACTCTACCTGGATAATTCCTGCTCAACTTTGCGGTCTGTTTAAATGTTACTTCTCCATCTCAGCTAAAGTAGGATACTACTCATAGCCTACACATAGCACCTTCTTTCTTTCTTAGCACTTGTCATTGTTACTTCATACAGGTCTTTGTTGAATTTAACTTTTTGTTTTTTTAGACGGAATATCACTCTGTGCCCAGGCTGGAGTGCAGTGGTGCAATCTCACCTCACTGCAACCTCCACTTCCTGGGATCAAGTGATTCTACTGCCTCAGCCTCCCAGGTAACTGGGATTACAGGTATGTGCCATGACACCAGCTAATTTTTTTTGTATTTTTAGTAAAAACGAGGTTTCGCCATGTTGGCCAGGCTGGTCTCAAACTCCTGACCTCAAGTGATTCACCTGCCTCAGCATTCCAAAGTGCTGTGCTTACAGGCATGAGCCACCACTCCTGGCCTACTTTAACTTGTTTAGAGACACACTGTCTCTGTGGCCCAGGCTGGAGTGCAGTGAGTGGCATGATCATGGCTCACTGCAACCTCCACTCCCTGGGTTCAAGTGATCCTCCTGCCTTAGCCTCCCAGGTAGCTAGGACTACAGGTACTCTCCATCACACCAGCTAATCAAAAAATAAATTTTGTTTTGTAGAGATGGGGTCTTGCTATGTTGAACAAGCTGGTCTCACACTCCAGGGCTCAAGCTGTCCTCCTGCCTCTGCCTCCCAAAGTGCTGGGATTACAGGCATGAGCTACCACCCTGGGCTGGAGTCTTAGTTTAATGTCTGATAAACCTTTTAGGTTGAAAACAACATGAAGGCAAAAATCAAATGTGTTGGTTCAGCATATAGCAGAAAGCCTGATTTATTGAGGATGCTTGGCTGGATACAGTGGCTCATGCTTGTAATCCTAACACTTTGGGGAGGCTGAGGCCAGAGGATGGCTTGAGCCTAGGAGTTCAAGACCAGCCTGGGCAACATAGTGAGACCCCATCTCTATATTTATAAAATGAAAGAAGATGCTCAATAAATTTTGCTAATAAAACAAGTAATTTTCTAAAAATCTACTCATAGTCTAATATTAAATAATATGTTGAAACCTATTATCTTCTGTGTTTTGGTGATTGTATTCTCCAAGAAAGTGTTCTTAATAGAATAAAAGAGGCTTCTGATTATTATTTTACTTGACTTGCCTTAGAAAAGGATTGTTCACTTCGGAAGGATAGGGCAGAAGGATTGTTTGATCCCAGGAGTTAGAGACCAGCAGTGGTAATGTGGTTTTTTAAATAGAGACCTTATCTCTATTTAAAAAAAAAAAAAGAAAGAAAGAAAAAAGGCCAGGTGGGATGGTACACACCTGTAGTCCCAGCTACTTGGGAGACTGAGGTAGGAGCATCACTTGAAACCAGGAGTTCAAGGTTGCAGTGAGCTTTGTTTGTTTGTTTTTTGAGACAGAGTCTTGCTCTGTGGCCAGGCTGGAGTGCAGTGGTGTGATCTCGGCTCACTGCAACCTCCACCTCCCAGGTTCAAGCAGTTCTCCTGCCTCAGCCTCCTGAGTAGCTGGGGATTACAGGCACCTGCCGCCATGCCCAGCTAATTTTTGTATTTTTGGTAGAGGTGGGGTTTTGCCATGTTGGCCAGGCTGGCCTCAAACTCCTGACCTCAAGTGACCTCAGCCTCCCAAAGTGCTGGGATTACAGGAGTGGCCACAGTAAGCTTTGATCACACCACTGCACAGCAGCCTGGGCAACAGAGCAAGATCCTGTCTCAAAACAAAATAAATTAATTGTAATGTAGGTTTTGGTAACCATGTGTCTTTTCTTCTTCAGAATGGAGATCTCCTCTCATCAGTCTCACCTTCTGCAGCAACTGAACGAGCAGCGCAGGCAAGATGTATTTTGTGACTGCAGTATTCTAGTTGAAGGGAAGGTCTTCAAAGCACATCGAAATGTATTATTTGCTAGTAGTGGCTACTTTAAAATGCTTCTTTCTCAGAATTCAAAGGAGACAAGTCAGCCAACCACAGCTACATTTCAGGCTTTCTCCCCTGACACCTTTACAGTTATCCTGGACTTTGTATATTCTGGTAAACTGTCTCTTACTGGTCAGAATGTCATAGAAGTGATGTCAGCTGCTAGCTTCCTGCAGATGACTGATGTCATAAGTGTATGTAAGACTTTTATTAAATCTTCCTTAGACATTAGTGAGAAAGAGAAAGATCGCTATTTCAGTCTCTCAGATAAAGACGCCAATTCTAATGGTGTAGAACGCTCCTCATTTTATAGTGGTGGCTGGCAAGAAGGAAGCAGTTCTCCACATTCTCACCTAAGCCCAGAGCAAGGAACCGGTATAATAAGTGGAAAATCCTGGAGTAAGTATAATTATCATCCAACTTCCCAGAGGAATACTCAACAACCCTTGGCCAAGCATGAACCAAGGAAAGAGTCCATTAAAAAGACCAAACATTTGAGATTGTCACAGCCTTCTGAAGTTACTCAGTATAAGTCAAGCAAACGAGAAGCACGAACATCCGATTCTTCCAGCCATGTTTCCCAGTCTGAAGAACAAGCACCAATTGATGCTGAAATGGACTCTACCGCTGTTGGCTATCAGTACAGTCAAGGATCTGATGTCACATCCAAAAGTTTTCCAGGTACCCATAAAGAGCATAAATAAGTCCCCTCAACCAGATTCCAAATTGCTATATAAATCAATCTTTTGTCAAAATGTCCTTAGTTTCAGGTGCTGCTCTAGGAAGTTGAAGCAAGTTATTTTTTTTTAAGTCCTATTTCTGTAATGAAATATATTTAGCAAGGCCAGGTGTGATGGCTCACACCTGTAATCCCAGCACTTTAGGAGGCTGACATGGGCAGATCACCTGCGGTCAGGAGTTTGAGACCAGCCTAGCCAACATGGCAAAACACTGTCTCTACTAAAAGTACAAGAAAAAAGTTACCCAGGCATGGTGGTGTATGCCTGTAATCCCAGCTACTCAGGAGGCTGAGGCAGAAGAATCACTTGAAACCAGGAGGCGGAGGTTGCAGGGAGCTGACATTGTGCCACTCCACTCCAGCCTGGCAACAGAGCAGGACTCCGTCACACACACACAAAAAGTTTAGCCAGCCATAGTGGTACACACCTGTAGTCCAAGCTACTCAGGAGGCTGAGGCAGGAGAATCACTTGAGCCTGAGAGGCAGAGGTTGCAGTGAGCTGAGATCATGCCACTGCACTCCATCCTGGGCGATAGAGTGAGACTCTATCTCAAAAAAAAAAAGAAGAAATTTATTTCATAAAACATGGATTTAAATTTTTAAATTGAAAGTAATATTGGATAAATATAATGACAATCAAACTAATAAGAGTACTAAGGGTCAAAACCCATGATTTTCCAAACCTGTGTCTGTGGGTGGTTAGATTACTCTTAAATGTTTAAAGCTCTTTTCTAAATAGTTCAATCCCTAAGACACATATTTTCATTTTAGTTTTTTTTTTTCCCTGTGTATTTACTCAGAGGAGTGTTTAACTTATTAAGATACAAATACTTTTTTTTTTTTTTGAGATGGAGTCTCACTCTGTCACCCAAGCGCAATCTCAGCTCACTGCAACTGCCGCCATCTGGGTTCAGGTGATTCTCCTGTCTCAGCCTCCCAAGTAGCTGGGATTACAGGCAAGTGCCACGACACCCAGCTAATTTTTATATTTTTCTTTTTTTTTTTTTTGTTTATCAATGAGCGCTTGTAACATTGCTCATGTTGGGCTTGAACTCATAGCCTCGCCTCCTCAAGTGCCAGAACAACTGGCCGGAGCCACCGTGGCCCCCAATTTTTATATTCTTCTTAGAGATGGGGTTTCACTGTGTTGGCCAGGCTGGTCTCGAACTCCTGATCTCCAGATCCACCTACCTCAGCCTCCCAAAGTGCTGGGATTACAGGCATGAGCCACCATGCCTGGCTCATAATTTTTTTTTTTAAGGCATGCCTATAGTCCTAGCTACTAAGGAGGCTAAGGCAGAGCATCACTTGAGCCCAGAAGTTAAAGACCAGCATAGGCAACATAATGAGGCCCCATCCCCCACCCAAAAAAGAACAAACACCTCACATACAACCCATAACACTGATACTGTAAATCTACCATGGTCCAATGTGCAACATGAGACATCTCATTTTTATGATAACAGTAAAATGCAGAAAGACCATTTAAATTGACAGTTTCAAAAGAATCCTCCCCTCACTCAGAAGTAGAGACTAGGGATAAGAAATGCATATCATCCAATTTCCCCCCACCAATTAATCAGTTAACAAATTTGCTTAATAGTTTACTTTGTAGGGCAGGGCCCATGGTGGCTCACATCAGTAATCCCAGCACTTTGGGAGGCTGAGGCAGGTGCATCACCTGAGGTTGGGAGTTCAAGACCACCCTGACCAACGTGGAAAAACCCCATCTCTACTAAAAATACAAAATTAGCCAGCCATGATGGTACATGCCTATAATCCTAGCTACGAGGGAGGCTGAGGCAGGAGAATGACTTGGACCTGGGAGGCAGAGATTTCAGTGAGCTGAGATTGCACCATTGCACTCCAGCCTGGGCAACAAGAGCAAAACTCTATCTCAAAAAAAAAAGTTTATATGTAAATTTAAAGGAAAATTATATTAAAATGAAACTCCTGAAGCTTGTAAGATAAAATTATATATTTATTTTATTTTGCTTTTTAAATTTTTATTTATTTATTGTTTATTTATTTATTTATGTTTGAGATGGAGTCTTGCTCTATCGCCCAGGCTGGAGTGCAGTGGTGTGATCTCGGCTCACTACAACCTCCTCTTCCCTGGTTCAAGCAATTCTGTACCTCAGCCTTCTGAGTAGCTGGGACTACAGGCGTGCACCACCATGCCTGGCTAATTTTTGTATTTTTAGTAGAGACAGGGTTTCACTATGTTGGCCAGGCTGGTCTTGAACTCCTGTCCTCATGACCCACCCACCTTGGCCTCCCAAAGAACTGGGATTACAGGCATGAGCCACCTCACCCAGCCTCTATTTTGCTTTTTTTATAGAGATGGGGGGGTCTCACTATGTTTCCCAGACTGGTCTTGAACTCCTGGCCTGAAATGATCTTCCCACCTGAGCCTCCCAAAGTGCTGGGATTACAGACAGGAGCCACTGTGCCCCGCATAATTTTTATTTTAGAAAAATCTCAAACATATGCAAAAGTAATGAGAATGGTATAATTAATCTCCATGTACCATTACCTAGTCCCACAACCTTCAACTCATGGCCTGTCTTATGTCTGTATTCTTATCCCTAACCCACTCCCTTTAATATTTTTAAGCCAATCTCAGACATCATATGTTTTCACCTGTAAATAGTTTAGAATGTGTTCTTAAAATGTAGAAAAAAACTATAATACTATTATCATACCTAAATTGAACTCTCTCTATATATATGTATACATATATTATATATATATATATATATATATATATATTTTTTTTTTTTTGAGACAGGGTCTCACACTGTTGCCCAGACTGGAGTGCAGTGGCACGTTCTTGGCTCACTGCAACTTCCACCTCCTGGGTTCAAGCGATTCTCCCACCTCAGCCTTCCAAATAACTGGGACTACAGGCATGCACCATCATACCTGGCTAATTTTTTTATTTTTGGTAGAGATGGTTTTACCATATTGGCTAGGCTGGTCTATAGCTCCTGACCTCAAATGATTTTCCACCAAGAAAAAAGCTTAAATAGTAAATACTTTTAAATTGTGTACAGTTTTAAAATATAGTACTATTTTACATTTAAAATCTAATGACCCTACTGCATTAAATAAAAAAATAAGCTTGGGAGGCCAAGGCAGGCGGATCACAAGGTCAAGAGATTGAGACCATCCTGGCCAACATTGTGAAACCCCATCTCTACTAAAAATACAAAAAATTAGCTGGACATGGTGGTGCATGCCTGTAGTCCCAGCTACTTGGGAGGCTGAGGCAGGAGAATTGCTTGACCCTGGGAGGCAGAAGTTGCAGTGAGCCGAGGTCGCGCCACTGCGCTCCAGCCTGGCGCCTGGTGATGGAGTGAGACTCTGTCTCAAAAAAAAAAAAAAAAAAAAAAGCATGCAGTTTGAATTTACCCAACTTTCTAAATATATTAAATACTGAAGTTAACGTTCTATACTTAGGATTACATTGACAATCTGGTCTTAATAACATTTCTTTCATTCCTGTTTTTCCTACCTTCCCAAGATTGGGCTCACCAACTCCTTGTGAATTCTATTTTATTTTTTTAAGTTTATTTTTTTCTTTCCTCGTTTCCAGTGGGGTTGGATTTGATTCTTTCTGTTATCAGAATTGTTATTATGAACTTGCCAGTGATTTAATCAAATGTCTCTTGACAGGTGATCTGCCCCGGATGCGATTCAAGTGCCCATACTGCACACACGTGGTAAAGCGGAAGGCAGACCTAAAGCGCCACCTTCGTTGTCATACGGGAGAAAGGCCCTATCCATGTCAAGCTTGCGGAAAAAGATTTAGCAGGCTAGACCATCTAAGTAGCCATTTTCGAACAGTATGTATGATTTTTTTCATTGTTTTACTAATTCATTTTTGTTTTTTGCTTATTTACTTGTTTTTGTTTTTTTGAGACAGAGTTTCACTCTTGTTGCCCAGGCTGGAGTGCAATGGTGCATTCTTGGCTCACTGCAACCTCTGCCTCCCAGGTTTAAGCAATTCTGCCTCAGCCTCACAAGTAGCTGGGATTATGGGCGTGTGCCATCACGCCTGGCTAATTTTGTATTTTTAGTAGAGATGGTGTTTCACCATATTGAACATGCTGGTCTCAAACTCCCACAACCTCAGGTGATTCACCTGCCTCAGCCTCCCAAAAGTGCTGGGATTACAGTCATGAGCCATCGTGCCCGGCCTTGTTTTGTTTTCTGAGACGGGGTCTCTCTGTATCGCTCAGGCTGGAGTGCAGTGGTGCCATCTCAGCTCACTGCAGCCATGACTTCCCAGGTTCAAATGATCCTCCTCAGTGTCCTACTCTGGGACTACAGGCCTGCACCAACATGCTGAGCTAATTTTTGTATATTTTGTAGAGATGGGGTTTTACCATGTTACCCAGACTGGTCTTGAACTCCTGGAGGCAAGTGATCCACCTGCTTTTACCCCCCAAAGTGCTGGGGTTACAGGCAGAGCCACCGTGCCTGGCCCATCATTTTGCTTCTTAAGAAATATGTACATTTGACTGGGTGCAGTGGCTCACACCTGTAATCCCAGCGCTTTGGGAGGCCAAGGTGGGCAGATTGCTTGAGGCCAGGAGTTCAGTTCAAGACCAGCCTGGCTGACATTGTGAAACCCCATCCACCAAAAATACAAAAATTAGTGGGGCGTGGTAGCACACACCAGTAATCCCAGTTACTCAGGAGGCTGAGGCACAAGACTCGCCCAAACTCCGCAAGTGGAGGTTACGGTGAGCTGAGATTGGGCCACTGTACTCCAGCCTGGGTTACAGAGGGAGACCCTGTCAAAAAAAAAAAATTACATTTATTGGCTTTAAGATCATCTCATTTGCTGAGGGAAATCTTTTCACACAAGTCTACCATATTTAAAATTCTTCCAACATAATGTTTTTACTTTGTACATAAAGCATAATTATATATATATATTGATTTTTATTCTCCTTTGAGACCTTGAAGTGGGGTATATTCTTTTGATGATAAATAGTTTTATATTTCCATTTAAATTCACTTATTCTAATATGTTTTTATGTACTGGTCTGTTCAGAGCCAAAGATAATATAAATTGTATAAATGTTTTAAGTGTCTAGGTCAGAGTTACCACTGCAGATACTTAGCATCTACCAGTAATTATTGAACACGTGTCTGGTGGGATCTCAGTCTAGTTGCTGCTGTGCTGTCCAACCAAAGGGGGTCTCCACACTACACCTGCTTTCTTTTTTTTTTTTTTTTTGAGACAGTCTTGCTGTGTTGCCCAGGCTGGAGTGCAGTGGCACAATCTCAGCTCACTGCAACATCAACCTCCTGGGTTCAAGCAGTTCTCTTGCCTCAGGCTCCCAAATAGCTGGAATTACAGGTGCCTGGCCTAGTTTTTGTATTTTTAGTAGAGATGGGGTTTCACTATGTTGGCCAGGCTGGTTTCAAACTCCTGACCTCAAGTGATCTACCTTGGCCTCCCAAAGTGCTGGGATTACAGGTGTGAGCCACTGAGCCAAGCCTCTTGGATTTTTTTTTTACTATGTTTGGCAGCCTACTTCTATACTGTCCTGACTTTGTCTAAATGAATATTCCAAACATTGATTCAACATTACACAATTAATTTTTATAATTTTTAGATTAGGGCCAGGTGCGGTGGCTCACGCCTGTAATCCCAGTGCTTTGGGAGGCCAAGGTGGGTGGATCACGAGGTCAAGAGATTGAAACCATCCTGGCCAACATAGTGAAACCCCGTCTCTACTAAAAATACAAAAATTAGCTGGGTGTGGTGGTGTGCACCTGTAGTCCCAGCTACTTGGGAGGCCGAGGCAGAATTGCTTGAACCCAGGAGGCAGAGGTTGCAGTGAGCCAAGATCGTGCCGTTACACTCCAGCCTGGTGCCTGGTGACAGAGCAAGACACTGTCTCAAAAATATAAATAAGTAAATAAATAGGCCGGGTGTAATCTCACACTTGTAATCTCAGCACTTTGGGAGGCCGAGGAGGGCGGATCACAAGGTCAGGAATTCAAGACCAGACTGGCCTACATGGTGAAACCCGTGTCTCTAAAAAACAAAAATAATAATAATAAATAAATAATTTTAGATTAGAACCCATAATCTACTGTCTGACAGCTATTGAACAAAGTTGTTTATTACTAATTATAATACATAATTATTCATCAACTGCAACTGTTTATCAAAGCATTTCACACATGTTAATTCATTTGGTCCTCACATTAACCCTGTGAATGGTATTCCCATTAGCCATAGGAAGCAAGCAAAGATTAATAATAGACTGATATGTAGAAGCAGGACCAAAGTAATTGTTTATGTTCAGTGTCCAGTAGAATTAGGCTTCTCATCTGTCTGGGTGGTACCCATATCTTAACAGTTAAAGTTAAATATTTTAACTGTCACCCTAAAGCAGGTTTGTTTTTATTTTGGAGTGGAGTCTTGCTCAGTCACCAGGCTAGAGTGCAGTGGTGCAATCTTGGCTCACTGCAACCTCCACCTCCCAGGTTCAAGTGATTCTCCTGCCTCAGCCTCCTGAGTAGCTGGGACTATAGGCACATGCCACCATGCCCAGCTAATTTTTGTATTTTTAGTAAAGACAGGGTTTCACCATTTTGGCCAGGATGGTCTCGATCTCTTGACCTTGTGATCTGCTCACCTCAGCCTCCCAAAGTGCTGGGATTACAGGCGTGCGCCACCATGGCCAGCCTAAAGCAGGTTAATATAATGTTTTAAATTACTTGCTCCAAGATAACGTGGTCAGTAAGTGACAAAGATAGTAGATGACTAGAACCCCAAGCCTTCCAATCCCTGTGTGGTCCTCTTTCCACTAGATCTTTTCTTAATAAAAATGCAAGTACTCCTTCTGTCCAAAAATATTAACAAATTTAAATTTGTACCATATTTTTCTCTAGTAAAATAACAAAAAATTAATACACAAAACAAGAGAGATTCCCTCCTCTAAATTAAGATATGTTCAGCCTGGACAACATCGTGAGACTCTCTCTATATATTTTTTTTTAATTAGCCAGGCATGGTGCCTGTAGTCCCAGCTCCTCAGTAGGTTGAGATAGGAGGATTGCTTGAGCCTGGGAGGTTGAGGCTGCTGTGAGCCGTGGTCACCGCTACACCCCAGCCTGGGTGACAGAGCGAGACTCTATCTTTTTTTTTTTTTTTTTGAGATGGAGTTTCAAAAAACTGTTGTTACCCAGACTGGAGTGCAATGGCACGATCTCGGCTCACCGCAACCTCCGCCTTCTGGATTCAAACAGTTCTTCTGCCTCAGCCTCCTGAGTAGCTGGGACTACAGGCGCACACCACCATGCCCAGCTAATTTTTGTATTTTTAGTAGAGATGGGGTTTCACCTTGTTGACCAGGATGGTCTCAATCTCTTGACCTCGTGATCCACCCGCCTCAGCCTCCCAAAGTGCTGGGATTATAGGCGTGAGCCACTGCGCCCGGCTCTTTTTTTTTTTCTTAGTTCTTATGCAATTTCAGAGAAAGACTCTATCTTAAAAATAAAAAGTATGCAGGGCATGGTGGCTCACGCCTGTAATCCCAGCACTTTGGGAGACTGAGGCAGGTGGATCACAAGGTCAGGAGCTCGAGACCAGCCTGACCAACTTGGTGAAACCCCGTTTCTACTAAAAATACAAAAATTAGCCAGGCATGGTGGCACGTGCCTATAATCCCAGCTGCTCAGGAGGCTGAGGTAGGAGAATCGCTTGAACTTGGGAGACAGAGGTTGTAGTCAGCCAAGATCACACCATTGCACTCCAGCCTGGGTGACAGAGCAAGACTCTATCTCCCCAAAAATAAATAAATAAATAATAAAGTAAATTAAGGGGAAAAAAGCACATGGCACATAGTAAGTGTTTGCAATTATTATCTTGCAAAATATCCCGTTGTTCCCTCAGATACCCAAATGCTATTGGATTAAGTGATATGTGAAACTATTATGTAATATTAATAATAAAAAACATGATAGCCACTATTTAGAGAAAGCATATTTAATATTTCTGTGACATCAATTTATCACTAAAACCCTTGATCTGCTGGGCGTGGTGGCTCACGCTTATAATCCTAGCTCTTTGGGAGGCTGAGGCAAGCGGGTTGCCTGAGCTCAGAAGTTCAAGACCAGCCTGGGCAACACCGTGGAACTCCATCTCTAAAAAAAAAAAAAGGAAAAAGGAAAAAAAAAAATTTTTAATAAACCCCTTGATCTTTTTCTAATAATCAGATGTTAATTTGAGTTTAATGCATGGCTTTGAACATCTTAAGTTTATGAACTGGTACCTAAAATATCAAACTGTCCTGCTTTTGAAAAATCATTTTTATCACTATTTAAATCTCTACACAGATTCACCAGGCATGTAAACTCATCTGCAGAAAATGTAAACGTCATGTGACAGATCTAACAGGGCAAGTGGTACAGGAGGGAACCAGGCGCTACAGACTGTGTAATGAGTGTCTTGCAGAATTTGGCATTGACAGCCTCCCCATTGACTTGGAAGCTGAACAACATCTTATGTCCCCATCAGATGGAGATAAGGATTCCAGATGGCACTTGAGTGAAGATGAGAATAGATCCTATGTGGAGATTGTAGAAGATGGGTCTGCTGATCTGGTCATCCAACAGGTTGATGATAGTGAAGAAGAAGACGAAAAAGAAATTAAGCCCAACATTAGGTAGCTGTAATGTGAACCAGCAGAGCTGGCATGTCTGCAATTTACATTGACTTCCTCTCTCTTTCTATGGTCAGAATCTAGTTAACAAATTTATCAAACTGACTTTAAAGAAATGACCTGATATAACTTGCATGCTTTCTGAACAGGCCATTGTATCCATTCTGAACTTTGTTGCCCTAAAATGTATTGCTGCACTGGAAAGAAAGAACTAGCTTGAGTTGGCATGATGGATGAGCAGTTATCCTCTTACTTTCATTACAGTCCTCTTACTTTATTACAGAGATACCCTTTTTCTTTTAATATTGGAAGATCTACTTAGCACATTTTTTCAAAGAAATACTTTAAATAAATTCACCACAATCAAACTTTATGTAAAACAATTTCAAGATGTTTCAAAACCACATATACTACCAATGTTGAATTTCACAGGGAACCAGTTAAGACTATATTTAAGTATCTGGCAACCCACCTGACTAAAGATATTAGTCTTTCTGTTAATTTGAGATCTGAAACAACTTGTCATTGCTCTGATATTAAGGATCATGGAAGAAGACTAAAGTGTTTGAAATTGTTCATATTTGAAATTTTTGTCGTAGGTTAAAAATTACTCTCAGTATTGTTAAAAAAGAAAAAACTTAAAGTACAGGCTGACCAAAGGTTATATACAGATATTTTCTTAAAGCAGGAAACTAATGTTGCATAAAAGTCAACGTAGTTTGTGAAGACTATCAGTCAAAATGGTTATCCATCTCTCTAAAGACAAACAGGCCCAGCACAGTGGCTCACACCTATAATCCCAGCACCTTGGGAAGCCAAGGCAGGTGGATCACCTGAGGTCAGCAGTTTGCAACCAGCCTGGCCAACATGGTTAAACGTTGTCTATGCTAAAAAATACAAAATTAGCCGGGTGTGGTGGCACGTGCCTGTAATCCCAGCTACTCAGGAGGCCGAGGCAGGAGAATCGCTTGAACTTCGGAGGCAGAGGTTGCAGTGAGCGGAGATCATGCCATAGCACTCCAGCCTCCAGCCTGGGCAACAAGAGTGAAACTCCATCTCAAAAAAAAAAAAAAAAAAAAAGAAAAAGGAAAACAAACTAGGAGGTTCTTAGCATATTTGAGTGATTTCTAACAGTTATGTAGTGCTAATATTATTTATAAAGTACTTGCTCACATATTTTCTCACTCAGTGAGGTGGGTACTATCTGCAGTTTACAAATGAGAAAATTAAAGTCAGAAAGTTTAAGAGACAAAACTGATGACTAGACAGGGTCTGATTTTAAACAGTCCTCTTTCAACCTTCTCTCCCTGTATGTCTCCTGAAATGGTAAAGAATAGAAGTCAAACCTTACCACTTGGCAGTAATTATAAAAATAAGCCAACCAGAATTAGAAAGCATGAAAGGAGGAATTGAATTATTTTCAACAACATGCAATATCTGATCTAGAGTTATTCAAATAGTGCTAAGTAATGTCCCTACGATACCTGTTGGTATGTTTTTATGTCAGGTTATTTATATGTAAATTTAAAGTATACAACTATTGGAACAAATTATTCACTTCAATACGTTGAACATTTTTGCTTCTTTTGTTTGTGTAGTATTTTCTTTCTTTCTTTCTTTTTTTTTTTTTAAGACAGTCTCACTGTTGCCAGGCCGGAGTGCGGCGATGCTATCTTGGTCCACTGCAACCTCCTACTCCCAGGTTCAAGCAATTTTCCTGCCTCAGCCTCCCGAGTAGCTGGGATTACAGGCACATGCCACCACGCCCAGCTAATTTTTGTATTTTTAGTAGTGATGGGGTTTCACCATGTTAGCCAGGATGATCTCGATCTGCTGACCTAGTGATCCACCTGCCATGACCTCCCAAAGTGCTGGGATTATAGGCGGGAGCCACCACACCCAGCCAGGATATAGTATTTTCAAAACAAACTTTTCTCCTGGTATACAAAGTTTAAACTTCTCCCATGCATAAATTATGAAACATTCCAAAATTAGTTAAATTAGAGAAGCATTGTTTTAGTTCTAAAGGTAAAATCTAAATATCAGAAGTAAAGAACTGAACTTCATAAAAGTTTGTTCTGCAAGTTATCACAATGAAGTTCTTGCTCACATATTTTCTCACTCAGTGAGGTGGGTACTATCTGCAGTTTAGAATCTCATTGTATATGGAAAGGCTCCATCTGTTTTACCGTTTTGTTTTTGTTTTTGGTGCCTTGACTTGGATTTTACTGTATTTTTAAATGCCATGACATACCTCAAAATGATACTTTTTGTTATTATTTTCTCTTGTTCTTTTTTTTTTTCTTTTTGAGACGGAGTTTCGCTGTTGTTACCCAGGCTGGAGTACAATGGCGCAATCTCGGCTCACCGCAACCTCCGCCTCCTGGGTTCAGGCAATTCTCCTGCCTCAGCCTCCCTAGTAGCTGGGATTACAGGCACACGCCACCATGCCCAGCTAAGTTTTTGTATTTTTAGTAGAGACGGGGTTTCACCATGTTGACCAGGATGGTCTCGATCTCTTGACCTTGTGATCCACCCACCTCGGCCTCCCAAAGTGCTGGGATTACAGGCATGAGCCACCGCGCCCGGCCTCTCTTGTTCTTTCATTAATTATTGTCCTTGATACCAATTTCTAGGCTAAAATGGTTACTTTCTTTTAAAAAATGTATAAATATATGAATAACCACTTTGTTTCATGGCACTTAATTGAGACTTTTTCAAGATTCCCCTGCTGGCACACTTCCAGTTGCTTTAAGACCGGATGATGGGCCAGGCGTGGTGGCTCACGCCTATAATCCCAGCACTTTGGGAGGCCGAGGCGGGTGGATCACGAGGTCAAGAGATCGAAACCATCCTGGTCAACATGGTGAAACCCCATCTCTACTAAAAATACAAAAAATTAGCTGGGCACGGTAGCACGTTCCTGTAATCCCAGCTACTCGGGAGGCTGAGGCAGGAGAATTGCCTGAACCCAGGAGGCGGAGGTTGCGGTGAGCCGAGATCACGCCGTTGCACTCCAGCCTGGGTAACAAGAGTGAAACTCCATCTCAAAAAAAAAAAGACCAGATGATGTGCATTGACTTCACTCCCAACCTGACTGTTCCTAAACCAGGATTTTTTTTTTTTTTTTTTGAGACGGAGTCTCACTCTGTTGCCCAGGCTGGATAGAGTGCAGTGGCATGATCTTGGCTCACCACAACCTCTGCCTCCTGGTTTCAAGCGATTCTCCTGTCTCAGACTCCCGAGTAGCTGGGGCTACAGGTGCTCAACCACAATGCTCAGCTAATTTTTGTATTTTTAGTAGAGATTTAGGGGTTTCAATTTAGGAGTTTTGCTATGTTGGCCAGGCTGGTCTCCAACTCCTTATCATGATCCGCCCACCTCAGCCTCCCAAAGTGCTGGGATTACAGGCGAGAGCCACTGTACTCGGCCTAAATCAGGATTCTTAACAATTAAAGTGTATCCGAATGAGGGAGGAAACACTTGTCATTCTCTACTCTTACCAGAGTAATACTGATACCTTTTGAAATTAAAACCTGATTTTTTTAGTTGTTGAAGCCAATAGGAAGAATGGCTGATTTGAACTTTATTTATATAAATGAAGTAGTGCTTGCATGTGTATACTCTAATGCACTTTAGTCTATGATGTAAATGTCCTTTTATGCTATTATCTTCTGCATGCAAACTTTACATACATCAGCATGAATATTAGCAACATTCACTGAACACAGTGCCACCAGAAATTGTCTTTTCAGAAATAATGCTTTCTCATAATTGTTTATAACAAGCATCAAACTGTCCCCACACAATAAGGATCAAGTTCACCAAAGTAGACAGAGAATCTGTTCTATCATTTTAGCATCATAAAAGAAGAACATTTAAGACATGTTTGTAAGTTGTAAATAATGACTCCAGTTATATCATATATGTCTAAGACGTTAGAGACCAGTTTTTTCTAGAGTGAAACTGTCTATTGATGATTTGGGAAAATTGAATTCTTTGGCTTTTAAATGTGGGCAAATGTTACATAGAGGTATAATCTGTTTAAATAAGCTTTATTTATGCCAAGGATGTTTTTTAATATTAAGACTTTGTTAGACCAAATTTGTTCTTACAGGAATGCCATTTATCAGCTTCTGAATGCCCTTCTAACTCCATTGCCCTCAAGAGTGTCTGGGTATAGGATGAAGCATTACAAAAAGAAAGCACCACTGTAGTCACACCTAGGGTCTGGAAGAAACAAAATGGACTAGATCTGCAGTTTAAAAGAATTTTTTAACCCAAGAAGCTCTTCAAATGAATTGTTTCCTATAGATGCTCAAATTTAAGGGATAAACTCTAAAATTAGAGCTGCTCCGATTAAAGCCCCCCACAAACCTTTCCCCTGCAGAACTCAGGTGCACAACGTTGAAAACCATGGAATTAGATAACTTCTTGAATTCCCTTTGATCGTTGCACCCTAATTTCATTACTACTATTACTCACTGTGCTTATAAGCAGGTAATCATAAGGTCGCTTAGTGAAGCAAATCATGTCCTTAGCTGATGATGTTCCTTCTGTGGGTATCATATCTTAAGCCTTTTTAAAACTTAGGAACAAATTTTTCAGCATTATATTTTCAGTAATACAATCAAAATAAGCATAGTTACTGCTTTCTATATGGCCAGGTACTGCCTGATGGATGAAAAGTTTGGTGCTTCAATTGTTATGAGCTCAGAACTCAATTCATTAAAGTTATTTTGCCAAGTCATGCCAAGATACATTGAAATTTCCACTTATATTGGTTTTTTAAAATATTTTTTATTCCTAAAATTAGTTAAGTGTGGAAAATCACTGAAAGCAGTATATGTAGCATCAGACGTTTTAACTGGGAAGGGTGATAATAATAGGTACAGGAAGGACCAAACTTTAGATTATAAACAAAGTTTTATGTTACTTTATATGAGTGTATCAGTATCACTATTTATAATTTATATAGCATTTTATATTTGCAAAGTGTTTAACAATTTTTATGTTATTCTTTACATATTTGTGAAATAGGACAGTTATCCCACATGAAAGGTAAAGAAATTGAGGCTCAAAATAGTAAAGAAACCTAAGGGTCAGGTACAGTGGCTCACGCCTGTAATCCCAGCACTTTGGGAGGCCCAGACAGGTGGATCACTAGAGGTCACGAGTTCGAGACCAGCCTGGGCAATATAATGAAACCCCATCTCTACTAATACCAAAATTAGCCAAGCATGGTGGTAGACACCTGTAATCCCAGCTACTCCAGAGGCTGAGATGAAAATTGCTTGAACTCAGGACATGGAGGTTACAGTGAGCCAAGATCGTGCCACTACACCCAGGCTAGATGACAGAGCAAGACTCCGT